GGCCGTACCACACGGCCCTGAGGGACTCCAAGGTGAACATCTTATTAGAGTCAGAGACGCACACCGGCGGGTCGTCCGTGCCGTCCTGCCTCTCTCCCATTTTCAGAAGCACTTTTTTCCTAATGCACAAGAAATCCAGGAGCCACAACATGACGGCGGCCAGGAGGAACCGGGGCAGCAGCATCAGGCACAGGGCTGCATGTTTCAGCGCCCTCGCCATTTGGACACCGCCAGAGTCGTGCATCATCTCTCCCCCTGCCGATAGGATGCGACTGGGCCGGCGAAAGAGACAACTAGTATTTAGTCACCTTTACCCATTGGAGAAAACTATCTGACGCACGCAGGCACTCTTTTTATAGGTACAGCAGCATTTGAATAATGGGAAAAAAAGAAAAAGAAGAAGAAAAAAAAACATGCATGCAACATATCTGTTTTTCACTCACCACTTAATACGTCAGGGCTGATGTAGGCCGGACTTCCTCTCTGGTCTTTCAGCAGGTCGTCCTCGCTCACCAGGTGCTTTCCCAGGCAGAAGTTGGTGATGGTGATTCGGTGAGTCCTGTAACCACACAAACATACAAATGCACCTGTTACATACACTTCTGGTTCTGAATTCAACGATGACCCAAATGCACCCCTCCCCTTTAATTTCATCAAACCAGGGCATACGAGTAATAGTAACAGTCTTACTCATTGTAACAAAGGCACGTTTACAATGTGAAACACTGCACACTCACAGCTCAAAGCATGAAGTAAACACATGCTCACTGAGACAGGGAGAACTTGCCTTACTAAAATGCCTTGTTGTTTTAATAATTTCAAGGTTCACTGGAGCTTAAAAATACATCAGAATCTGAAGACTGGCAGATGCAGAACAGAGTATGCACACCCTTTCTTATTAAAGTCGCCCATCTTCTTATGTTAGACTTGCAGTTAAGAAGAAGCAGACGATATACTTTATAAGATGTTCTTATTCTTAAAGAATTCAACACAAGATTCGTCATTTCACGTACTGACCAGGATCTTAAACTGTCAGGTTTCCCTGCCCACATGATGTTCCCACAATTTCCACACAATTTAGGAGATCCTTGTTCGTTATCTGTTGCACTGTTCCTCAGTAGCAGCTCATATATTATCTATTTTTACACATGCATGTTGAACTCCTGGAAACACGGTCATCTATATTGCTTAAAGTCTAAGATCACGATAAGGGAGAAACACTCAGAACCTTTGAAACTCAAATGTAAAGTAGATTGTGCAAAAAGTGTTTGTTATCAGGAAGATGTCCTACGGTATATACTATAACAAGTATATAACTGATTGTATCAACTTTAAAGAAAGCAATCTGAAATCCGTGGGCGGAGCACTTCGACTTGTCCATTAGACTCAACTCCAGATGACTGTTTTTGTCATGAGGGCCTCTAAACTCTGGGGCACCCTCCATTAGGGGTTTATTTTAGATAAATCTCTCTTAAATGGGAAATTGTCATTATGCAACACTCTACATAACGTAAATGAATTATCAACTACATCACTGTTTTAGTCAATGGCCATCTTCATACATCAGACATGAGACATTACGAGAACAGGGCCACTCCAGACACACTGGCGCTTCAAAGTCTAAGAAGACCCACTGCTGTTACCAGGGATGTTTGATTAATTTGGTTTCTGTGGAAACAATGTGGCACTATAGGACTTTTCTCTGAGTCATCAAGGTAAATTTAGTTTGCCTGTGGTGGAGTGAAACCGAACAGTATTAAAGCCGAAGGACTATGAACTGTTCTATATCTCTGTGTTCTTTTAGCAGAGAAAGAGAAAATAAAAAAAGCCGCACTTTGACAAACATATGAGTCAACCTGTGGCTTGGGATAATTGTCTCGATGACTCAACCGGCATGGTGATGGGCTGGCAAATGAATATATAAAGCTCGAGAAGATTTAAAATATGTACACAAACGCGCAACTTCAAGTGCACCCACACAATCACTCCCATGGTCAACACGCACACACAAAAATGCACTCAAAGCACACGAGCACACACAAAAGCCATGGTCTAGAGCCTGGGTCCTCTCTGGATCATGCTCCTCACCCACATCCGCTTTCTAAAAAGCCTGAGGTCAACAGCTTCCCTTATTCTCTCTCACTTTCACACCCTGCTCCATCACACACACTCACTGCTCCCATTACAGCGTCTGGAGCCAATTTCTGTCAGACACGCAATTTTCAAACAAATGCTCCAATCTCAATCTTCCCTTAGAACATTTAGTTCACATCATTTCCACCTACTTATGTCATCCAACCCTTCAACAGCTTTGGTGATCCAGTTCTCTATAAGCATACAGTGGCCTTCTGATCGGCACAAAGATAGGCCAGAGGAACAGAGTGCAATGCTTCAAGGACCCTCAACATAAAAGCTTCCTTTATGAAGAAGTCTGTTCCTTTGTCTGTGTGCATCACGACCCAGGCTTCTATTCTTGCACCGGAGATTGGGTAAATGAAATTGCATGTTTGCCTCGTGAGGCAAGGGTCCCTGAGGACTAAAGAGAGACCACATCATCGCCGCTTCCTGGTCATGTGACTCCGAGTAAGTCAGGAAACCAGAAACCTAAACAGCCCCCTTGACTTCTCCTCCCTGCCCACAACATTTTGCTGAAAATATACCAGCTGACGAGAACAGAAAGAGGTTAAACGCAGGGCAACTTCTACAGAAATCAGCAAATTTCATTTCTCAGAACTGCGAGGAAACAATGAGTTGGAGCGTTATATTAAGAGCTAAGCTTTACTGAAGCAAATGTTTGTCCTAATTTCTAAGGTTGAATACGTCTAATATTCAAAGATAATTCCAGTGTGAATTATTTTGTGCCGGACAGCACAAAACTTCAGTCAGAAGGAGTAATGCATCCCTGAGACTATATAGTGATCATGGCGATATAAACTAACAGGAACTCTCTGCAAGAAATAAAAACAAAAAGAAGACAAAGTGTCCCTTTAGAAATACAATAAACATTTATAAAGTCAAAACCAGCTCTGACATACATTGACAACGAACCGGCATATTGATTTATGACGTCCTGCTTTCATAACAGCTGGCTCCGCAAGAGGAAATCACATCATTCTTGCATTAACTGCTGAGCTTGTTGATGGCATTGGTGCATTTCCCAGAGCGGCGACAAGCAGCAGGGGAGGAGAGGGGATTTTGGGATCGGCCAGCATCTAAATTGGCCACGTCCTTCCCATACTGACTGTACATTCGTACGCATCCAGGGTGGAGGAACAGAGGAATCATGCAAGCAAGCATAGCATGATCCATAAAGGAGACAGGAAAAGTGAAAAGAAAAAATATGACAAAAAGAAAAACAATGAAAGCAGGAAAGGGATTGGGGGTGTAAAAGAAAATAGAGGAAAAGCAGAGTAAGGGGTAAATAAATGATGACTGTGTGTGCATGTGTATATATGTGTGTGTGAGACGTGCATTGCGGTGTGAGTCAGCTCTGAGCTATGGGGCCTTTGGCAGGCCTCTCCTTTGTCTCCAGCTGGGACGGAGTGTTCCGCTCGTCTGCTCCTCGCCTCGCCACCCTCCTCCCCTGGCCATAACACTCTCCTGTTTCATCACCACCACCACTACTGCTGCTGCTGCTGCTGGTGGTAGGAGCACCAAGTTTTCACGCCTGACATGCAAAGTTTGTATGTGGTAAAGAGATAAGCTGGCAACGTGACATCTCAATGCACATACTCAGACATGCATTTCACGCATGAGAAATGTGAGATTACACTCAAGCAAGCATGCTTGATGTTTAGATATCAAGGTGTGTGTAAGCAAGTGTGTGTGTGTGTGTGTGTGCGTGCCGGTATGTGTGTTAGTCATGTCCTTCCAAATGAAAAGACTGCCTTTGTGGGATGATTATCAGAGTCCCCAAGAATGTGCGCGCGGACTTGTGCTGTTCAGAGACATCCTTCCATAGGTTGAAGGCAAAATCTAGCCGAATCATCTTAACTTGGACAAACTAATATTAAAAAACAAGTGGCTTTCAACCCCTCAAATACACACACACACAAATACACACACACACCATCGCTCTCATTTACTCTGTACGTATGGTATTTGGAGGAGGCTTTACAGATGAGTAGTTTTCCGTGCTGCAGGGCCTATCTGAACTGCAGCACTCTGTGCCCTGAGGTGCACTCACCAGGGTCCTGTGTGTGCTATACAACACTGCTCCCACCAAGAACAAAGCAGTGGCATATTCTTTGCTCTGTTTTGCACCAGGGTACAGTTCCCCCTACACTTCCAAAAATCCAACCATGGGGAATCATCAGCTTTTTCTAAACACGCAGACACAGACCCAGACTCCTGCACAAGAGACCAAGGCTTTAGGTTCCTAAAACTGATCTCACTCTAAGTCTAAGAATGTGACCCTGCTTGGGTTTAAAGCCAAGTGCACACTGGATACAGGCTGCTAGGGCCTCTCACACATGTGACCTGAGACAGAATGACTTACTCGCAGGCTAAAATGACTGACCCTGTATAACGGGAGAGGCTATTGGCCAGCTAACTGATTGATGAGGCCAAATGAATTTCTTCTTACCGTTTGTTCAGCACCATGTTTCCCAGCTTGAGGTCTCTGTGCACAATGTTTTTCTGAATGCAGGAAAGAAAGAGAAGAGGGAAAAGAAATGTTTTCATTAAATCGTACTTAGGGATAATCATTGGTATCAAAACAATCACTTTGTTTGTGGCACGCCAGGATGGGAGATGAGTAATCAGAAAGGATTTGCAACTAGCTAACAATAACAATTTCTAAGCCATTTCTCCTACAGGTGACAAAAACACTGTAGTATTGAAACTTTCTTCACTAATGAAAATAGAAAACTGCACTTTCATATCGTCCACAATGCACACAGTTGGTTAGTATGATAGATTTCACCTTTTAAAGCACATTTTCTTGGAGTAGTCTAATCAATTCAATCCTAGACTCACCTTATGAAGGGCCTCCACCACACGCACCACATCATAGAAGATGACGATTGCCTCGCGCTCGCTTAATCGCTTCTCCTTTATGACGTAATGCTGGAGGTTTATTAAATCTGCCGTCTTGTCGCTGAAGTCGTGAGCACACAGGCAGTCCAGCACGAGGCAGATCCGCTTCTTCATCTTGCGCACTTTGTTGGCCTCCATGTCCTCTACTATTTCATAGGCTCGGTCCTGGGGAACGACAACAAAAAAGGTGCTTACTTTGTAAGTGGACTTGTTAATACCTTTTAGAGGCACTTTCCAACAGCGTCAAAACAATACAAGTTAAGGCATCCAAGAATGCATTAAACTGAATGGATTCCTATACTATAACGCCTGATCAAGCTGATTCATTCAGCTTAGAAAGACATAGATTCAAGTCGGCTGGAGGACATCAATCGCCAGCATGCATGTAAGACACATCTACCCCTCCACATCAAGTGGTAGAGGGCGAATAACAAAGGTCATTGCTCTTCTTCCAACTCCAGTCCTAGCTCAGTCACCACTTATTGATTTCTGTATCAGGTTGTCAGTTTTTTTTTTTTTTTTTAGATGCAGTCAGCACCTCTGAAAGTGTACATTATTAACTGGTTCTCTCACAGTGGAGATGCACTATAATAATCCAATCAATATTGCAGGCCTAAATGAATCAGAGTGCATGGCTCAATGCTGCTATTCTGAGAACACCGGCAGAGTGGAACAGACAGGATGTGAAAGAGAGACAAAGGAGAAAAACACAGAGAGAGAGAGAGAGGAGGCAGATGGAACAATAACAAAGTTAGAGGAGGAGGCAGACGGGAAGACAGGTGAGGGAGGGGCAGCTCATTGTGAATGGATGGGGCTGTGAATAGAGAACGACTGCAGATAAATATGGCCTCTTAATGGTACTCCCACTTCTCTATTGAAACAACCCTGATAAGGAAAATCCAAGCAGCTGGATGGACTAATGACAAGCTTACCTCTGCTATTACCGAGCTGATAAAAGCGTGCTGTTACTTGTGCCTATGTGGTGAAGCCATGTTCTGAACTGAATAGAAAGCGGCATAATCATCTCCAATGTAATGTGGATGTATTTCTCATGTTCAATTACACTGAATACTCGCCCACACAGTGCTGAGTAATACACCACAGACTATAAGAAACTTTAACTTAACTTAACCCATGGTATTATTTAATTTGACTGAAATGTAACTTAATTGCCAAATGTGTGCAGGTCTCAGTCTACCTGGAAGAGGCCGTGATGGTGAACCACTCCGTCCTGGTTGTGCAGCAGAGAAAGAAGGGAGTATTCTGTGTGCAGCAGCATCTTCCCCTGCCTCTCCTCCTGAGTCTCCCCAGCAGAGTCCACTCGCTCCTCCAGCGTCAGTATCTGCCGTGGCCACACAGAACGGAGCAAACATTCGAGGTCAGACAGGATCAGACAGCACAAAGGAGAGCTTTAACCATTTAGTATGAAGTTGATATTTAGTCCTGCCACTGAAGCTTTTAAACGACCGAAGACATGACATTAAGTTACTGTTCGGATAAGCATTTAACCACATGTTACGATCTGTGCAGTGGAGATGGTATAACAGGGCTGCAGCTTTAAAACTGCGGTTCATATACTAATGTGAAGTAACCAAGCTGTGCAGTAGACACTGAGGCGCTGGAGTCATGGGTATGAGGGGAGGGTCACGCACTGACTCACTACCACCCCCCCTTGTGCAACAGACATTGGATAGCCCCAATAAACAGATTGCCAGGCTGAGGTTTTGTTATTTGCACCAGACTGAAACAGGGGGCTATAAAATGAACACCAACAAAAGAAGGTCAAAGGTTCAGATGTCTACTGGGACATCATAGCTTTGTTTTGAATGACTTTCTCATTTTCTTACTAACCAGCGTGTGTAACTCATTACGTTTGTGAGTAAGAAAACCACAAAAAAAACTGCGCCAACCCCGGCAGACTTACTTTGAGTTGATAGAAGTCGTCGGTGCCGTCCTTTCTGGCCAGACACTGCACTATGCTAGGCACTGGTGAGTTGCCCAGGCGAGGCCCTGCAAGGATAAGAAAAGGAACAGCTGCATGACCAAAAGGCAGGCTACACGCCGGAGTGTGTGCTCTCACTGCAACTCATTAAAGGCTGCATGTGCACGTACCCATTAACACCCCAAGTGTAATGTTTTTCTTTGGCACTATGATTTGCAAATAGTGGAGGAGTTGTGTAGTAGAAAACATAGTTGGAGAGAAATACATTTTCCAGAGGGAGGAAACAACCTTGCTCCAACACAGACTCGGACCTTTCTGGCCGTTGTCAAGGGGAATCAGCAAAATTCTTCACATTCTTGACTCGGGCTCGCATGCACACAGAGACACCCCACGACTCTCACATTCACACACGTACCTTTCCTGACTGGTGCAAATACTATGCGCTTCCTTACCGAGGATGAAGGGCCCGGCTCTCTTGGCGTTATTGCCGGATATCCCAGGACATTGCAGCTTGCTGGCCCTGCCTGATGTCTCTCCAGCCCCCCTCTCCGACGAGCGCCGCTTGGACATACTGGAGTTCTACGGGGGAATATATCTGATTAGTAAACGGGATAAAGATAGTCAAGGGAAAGGGAACTTGCATAAGCGTGACTGCGAGGAAATAAAGCAATAACAAAAAAACGTAGCGTCGGTAATCTGTTACGAGGGTTTTATAAATAGTCAGCTTAAAAATAAAGACTATACCCAGAGTTTTACCAGCAGGCCTACAGAGTGGTTGAGAGGGCACTTATTGGTGAACAGAAGTGAAAGGAGGTAAAAACTCAGGGCAACTCCCCCCAGCCTATTTTAAATATCCCTCCCACACATTTACCGACACCTCAGTGTGAATGTGAGGCCATTACGGCTCCATTCACAATGATGGCTGCTGGCGTCAAGGGTGACACCTCAGATTCAATTTTCAACCCAACAGGCAACGTCAATGTGCCACAATTTGTCATTTAAATGGCAAATGCTTTCATGTAAATGAACAGCACGAGCATAAAACTCTTGAAAACGGAGGGCTTTTTTTATGCGTGCCTCGCCACTGAACCGCATATTCATCTTTAGCTTCTCCTGCTCCAGCTGACGTGGGTTTAGAAAATCCTTCCGCTCCTAATCTGGGTGTTTTATCTCAAAATCTGTACAGCCGGCTTATCTGCAGCGGCCTTCCTCTGAAAGGACGTGCGTGTTCCAACAGGGCAGAGACAGAAAAGATGCCAAGCCCTTACGCTACGATAAGGAACTAGATTCACATGTCAGAAGAACCAGTGACACAGTATGACACATCATCATTACACAAACTATTTTAACTGCCACAGCAGATCTGCCTCCCAGGACTCAGAGAGCAAGAGGTATGCTTTGTTTACTGATACTGAGTTCCAATGTGATGAAACCCCATCTGTTTCCCGTAACAGGGAAGTGGTGCCTTGAACCGAGAGGAATGATTCACCCTTCTGTCGTCCTGGGTTTCCATTGGACAGAAACGCTTAAAGGTCTAGGTGATGACACCAATAGGAGCGTGAAATGGGCCCCCAAGCCTCTGACATGTGCTCCGTATCAAATGAAAAAAAAAGTAAAAATAAAAATCCGCTCATGAGCTCGGCCCACAAGAAAGGCAACACAAAGTGACAGATCGGACGTTAAAGGGTCACTGACTGATAGCGGTGGTGTGCATGTTTTAGCCGACTACATAAGAGATGATTCAGACTAGGCTAATAAAATCTAAAGCACCTCATAAAAACAGCAAAACAGACATATATTGGAGAGCTGTCAAACACCAAAAAAAACTTCAGAATATGTAACCGCTCTCGCAAGTGGTACAAACTAGAGAAAATTCATATTTCTAATGAATCGGGCCAATACTTCCTGTCTCCAAACTAAAATCGTGCACCACTCGCCAGTTGGCGTTTTTGGGCAGAGAGGATGCAGGACAGTTGGCAGTAAGTACGGGCTGGTATGAATTCTCACTTCCATGAGGCTTTTTGTGATCCCAGACAGCAGACAGTGTCATCATCGTGTCTCTCGCCCATCTGTCTCCATCTCCACTAGTCATCACCCACTGAGTCTGATGAGCTGAGGTTTTTCTGACAGCATTCAATGGCACAAGCCAGAGTGACACCAAGTCACGCTGCCAATAGTGAGAGAGCATCTTACTCTGGAGCACGACGGGCGAAAGGAATGGATAATCCAGCGGCCAAAGCGGCTGGCGGAATTGACGATCTGCATACTGCTTTCAGTGCTGTCGGATAAATACATTTTAAAGTGGTGTTTGAGTGCTAGAAAGGCTGCCAGATTTAATAAAATCAGCCGACAGAGCCAAACCTAAGAGGCATTTCATTTGTGGCCAATTCCCCACATTTCTAACAAGGTTATCTGATCGTACCTTGTATGCATTTCCTTTCTCCGCAGCTACACAGTGGAGAGTTAGAACCACGCTAATCCACGCACCTCGGACTTAAAACACCAACCTGACTCACAGACACAAACTCGCTGCTCGGCACACAGCAAGCGGACCCGAGGCTGTCCATCTACCTACTGAGCACCAGCCGCAGTGCTGTGGAGCCAAACCCTGACACATAGAAAAGCAAAGGTCAACGCAACCAACCAATGTGCACTGACCTAAATGACATCAGCGCGATGACAGCACACAGCTATCCTTTTCTGACACTGCTGAGCCTCGCTGCACAGCCAGTGATCTGGCAAGCAAGACTGCCTCCGACTGCCTCTGCCTCTGACTGTACCAGAGGGAGGACAAGAACAGATACAGCCTCTGAATCATATCACACAAAAGGAGGAGAGACACGCTGCCGGTGCCCACGAGAAATGTGGGCTCCTTAAATAGTAGCAGAACAAAACAACCACGTAGGTGTCTCAAGATCCACCCACTCAGACTCCATGCTACTTGTCTGGCTCTGCAAGAACAGCTTGATTGCAAAGTCAAGGTAGTATCAGGATGGACAAAGAAAACGTAGGGACACTTGAGGAGGTAGTAAACAGATGAGTGCATGACAAAATCTGGAGCGAGCACACAGGTAACGAGGAAGGATGCAAATCAATAATCGATCACGTACAGATCAAAACGAGAGCTAAAGCCGCTGGAAGGTCACACACGCTTTAATCCTGCTTATGTTGCTTGAATGAGATGTCAATCATTCATGTCAGCCCGTACACACATCTACCGCTATCACTGCAGTCGTTCACTACATTATTGCAATAACAACGTGCACGACTACTGTGTGTACACAAGGTCAAAGTATAAATACCTGGACGCAAATAATTACAAATGCACACAGACTGTCACACATTGTTTGGTGCCATTTTGCGACCACAAGGTCTGGACACCGTTCAGGTCTGGCAGCGGACCGTAGAAAGCGCTGACGTTATGCCTTACAACTTGTGCAAAAACCTGCCCCGCAGACTGCTAACAACTTGAGTAACCAGGCGCTAATGTGTTTTACCCACAACAATTACCATACGACCACCCAGGGACATTTCAAAACACACACTGAGCCGCATTACACGGCGTGCGTTCGTGTAGAGACTAACTGAGGTGGTTGTTCAGCGAAACTAAACGAGTAGCAAACGTAACACATGAATTTAACCACGTATATTTACGCAGGGCAACATGAAACAAAGCTTGGGTGCATATACAAACTTAGTACAACAACAAAGCGGGCTGAATTCCTCGGCTAAATACGCTACCGAAAGCTCCAGGCACACCGGCCACACAAAGGGGCAACAACACAGCAAGGAGTTGGGCTTTCGGTGCAAACTACACAGAGGAGACGTGAGCTAGGCTACGGCCACTTTAGCGAGTATCCTTATGAGCAAGAGAGTTTGCAATGTGATTGCTGGCGAGCGACATTAGCTAACGCCAAAAGCCGGAGGCTACAGAGCAGCCGGGAGGCCATTTAAACAAAGTAGGTAACATTACAGCTGGCTAGCCTTGCCAGAGAGCTAGATAGCAGTGTTAGTCGCTACCTCGCTTACCTCGAGCCAAAACCGCCGGGTAAAGTCTGCGTCGTCTGCTCACAACCTCGACATTTCTTGGGTAAACGCTGTGGTGGATGTGCGGAGCTTCTCGCTTAAGCAGGAGAGACCACAGTGGGTTGGTTTCGGGTTGTTTAGCCTCTGTTACCGAAATGAGCAATTAAGGAAAAGCCTCCGCTCTTCGCTGATCGCATCTTTCCACAGCGACAGCGCCACCTGACAACGGAAATGACGCACATACTTATTTGATTGACAGCTGCGCTCGACCAATGCCAGCCCCCGTGTGTTTTTCCTAGTAAAGGGTTGCGCACCGATGATGAAATTATTTGCATAATATAAGTTGCTAAATGAAACGCATTACGTCATAGTTGTCTGCATGGGAAGCGTTTGAGACAGTAAAACTAAGTTTAAGTGGAAACACCACAGTGGGTTTGTTTGCTAATGAATGCCCTGGTCTCATGGATAAGACTAACTGTTGTAGTGGTGAAGCATTTGTCAGACAACATACAACTGCATTACAAACTCAAGTTTTTAATCATCATCCAACCAGAAGTAATCAGAAATGAAGGGACTTTTTAACGTGTATTACTTACTATTGTATTAGTATTATGTCTAGCCCTTGAATTATAATATAATGACCAATATAACATGAAATTAACTTAATTTTCAGTCCCCTAAATCGGATAAAAACTGCATTTTCTCTTCATGGAAACCATCAAACTGATTTGTTTCTACAGCTAAAGGTAATGTACATGAAAGTAACTGTATGCATGGAGATTTCTGATTCTTGGATAACATTTTGCCTCATATAAGACTCTACACTGTAGTTGCTTTTCAATGAGACACATATTGCATTGCACCTCATTCAAGGTTAACCATATGACTCAGTGAAACTGATAAAAAGCATTAGATTTTCAATATTTGTTACTCATTGTCCACTCATAAAATATCTGGAGCAGTGCTATCTGTGTGTTAAAATTGCAGATACGGAGGGTTTAATTGCCAACACCAATTCACTAAAAAGCCAAGCTGTTGCTCACTTACTCAGCAAGCATAGTCCTGAATGACTAATGACTGAATTTAGTAAAGCCCACCTATGTCCCCAATTTAGACTTCCTGATTAATCTTAAATTCCACCCACAGCTACCAGTTTCAAACCGGTGGGCAGGTGTGATAGACACAGAGAGGGTAACTTAAATGGCAGAGGCATATTTGAGTTGCGTTGCTTCCTGCCTTGACTCAGCAGAGCATATGCCCCCGGCCACATGAAACATTTGTCAGCCTGTGGCTTTACAGTGTCCTACCCACAGCCTTTTAAGAGGAAACTGAATCATAACTTGAAATTCAAGGTCTGTGAGAGAAACATGATTTAATGTCATGGTATGGGAAACTAAGGTTGACTAGACTTTAAAGACTGTTTTGTTTGTTGATGTATTTAATACTTATTACTTGTGGCCCTAATGGAACAAGCAGTGTAACTTTGCAAGGAAAACAAACAATGATTATTTATCTTAGAAATAACATTTATGTTGTTTTTTTAATCTTCTTCTAAAATAGAATTATCCTGATTATGCAATATTTGGGCAATTTAGCAAGTCTTTATGGTGAAATATTGTTTTCTAGTGAGGTAGGTCGACTCCAGTGTGCAGTCTTTCAGGATGACTGGGATGAGCTCTGGTTTCTGTTTGTTTTGCAGCTAGGTTGTATCCTCAGGGCACGTAGTGTTTCTTGTCTCGCCTTTGCCAAGATTATTGGGAAGACCTCACCAGAATACTCCTCCCCTAGATCAATTCAGAGAAATGTCTCAGCATGTTTTGCCTGTATGGTATGCACCATGTTTCTGTGTGTGTGTGTCAGACTGTTGTTAACTGGGGGAGTGCAGACTATCAGAGTCTCACTTTGACCCATCTGCAGGCAGACTGCACACAAATATCTTGGATACTGATAGCTGTTGCTATAAAAATTCTCATTGCAGGTCCGTGCTGGAGGACAGAGTTTAACTGTGGATTAGCAGAAGAAAAAGAATATTGCTTTTAATGTTTTGGTTTGAAGGTTAAATACTCAAGTATAAATAAATATAATCACACATTTGTTGTTTTAGCTTTCAGTGAATCCTACACTCCTAAGACAAGAGATTTAGTAAAAAGAAAAGTACACTCATCACCTTTTGGTGCCTTTTTAAAAAAGACAGCATGACTGCATAATAAAACACAGTGTAGCAATGTGTGGTAGTCAGTTTGCACAGACCACACACAGTACGTAATGTTTAAAAAAGGTCAGGCAGCGCCCCCTACTGTTACATCCTTTCAACTGCAACAAGCTGTTACAAGATTCATGCCATTATTAACACGCTATTGCATCAGTACACAAAGCGATGATACAGTTCATACAATAATTTCTGTAAAAATATGTTTTTTTTCTCCAACTATTTATTAAAAATCCTACATTGCACATTAAACAATTGCAGCAATATGCATTTCCTTATACACAGAAAATGATACATTCAAATAAATAAAGTATTCAATATACATATTTACATATTCTGCAATTACTTATATTGCATTATTCCACATTTTAATAACATACTCATCAATGAGCACATCTCTGGGCCACAGGTCAACATTCAGAGACATCACAGGGTAGTGTAAAATGTCTTACAAGTTGCTGCTCATACAGTTTTAAGGTAGTGCAGTGTGATGTAAGATAAACATATTTCTTACCAAAAATAAACATTTTAGGGCATTTGAAATCACATTAGAAAGAGCACTTGGGTTCCTTTGATTCCCCATAGTATCATTTAATCATTTGTTCATTAGGATACCCTCTCTTCATACTCTGAAATAAACAAACATAGAGTTATGGACTTTAAACCTAAAAAATCTAACACCTTGATGTATTATTGACATTTAAAATAAAGGACATTGTGTGATATTAAAGGATTGTGTATTTTGTGTACCGCAGCACAGCCTGACTCAGATTTTTTAAAATGAAACATCTTGACCTTACATAAACAGATGTTTTGCTATTACCACATACACATGTTCATCGCACTGATATAGGCCTACTGTATGTGTCAATGCACTGAAACTCAGTTTACAGCAAACCAACTATTACAGTGTATTGCAGCTTAAAGTTTGGTTCACCACATTCTTAGTTGTTAACTATGCAAATCTGCTATTCGTCATTTGAAAACCAAAGGAAACACCTGCTCACATCTGCATTTTAAGAGCACCCAAAGAAGTTTTTCTGGCTGCATGTGAGGTTCCTGCAGTGTATTGGCAGGTGCAGAGAGCAGACTGGTCTACAGTAGAACAGACTGTTGACGGTGCATTGTGCCCCACCCCCCTAGGGGCATTTCAGTCAGGGTGACCATGTCACAGGCCATCCATCATGGCCAGAAGGTCGTCTCCTTTGCTGCTGGCACTGGGAGATTGATCTCCAGACTCTGTGAACTCTCCCATGATCTTGGCCAGCTCTGCATTGGTCTGCTGGTCCTGAAAGACAATCCATCGATCGCAGTGTCAGAGTGTTCATGACAGGGACTTACATCTCATTACTGTAAATCCTGTTAGACTGGCAAAGCCTTACATCTCTGATCCCCGACTGTATAACCGTAAGCCTATCACTGAGATAGGTAAAATTTTGAGTCCAATCATTGGGGTTGCTTATCAGAAGTAAAACACAACTGGTTGTGAGGCTGGCAAGTTGGGCCAGTGCAGACTATACACAGAAGTTCTCTAGTTCAAGTGTTTCTGAGATGGGTCCTCCACGTCGTATGCTTTCCCAGACACTGTGAGTTTTTAAATATGTTTGATTCCATCATTGCCTAAAACAAGATGCACAAGGGGATGCAAATTGGAGATGAGTCTAAGATGGGAGAAGAGCAGTATCCAGTCAGAGTGCAAAACAGGGAGCAGCTAAAAAAGCAAACAGTCCAAAACAAAACAAACACCATGGCTACAAAGAGGGCGAAGATGGGGACTAGTGTTACACAGATTGAGTGGATACAAGAGATGGAGGGGAGGCCCTCTACAAACTCTATCACCAGTCAGACGTAAACAAACCAGATGTCATTTCCAGTAAGTGACTTCTTCTGTGTTTTTGTCGATATCACGATCATTTGCTATAATCGCAGATCTCTCTATCTAAAGTAATCTTGCAATATATACAACTCGAGATCAGTTGTGTAGTTTGCGCATCCTAATGTCAACACTTATGTCAACAGACAGAAAAATTCCTTGTGGTTTGAACAGCGCAGCAAAAAATATAAGATTTTCAAAGTCTTGTAGTCTGCATTTCCCCCACGTGTATGGCCAGACTTATTGTCACCAAGTGTGCAGCAATGGCTAGATTTGTATTACACAAATACTGGATATCCAATTTTCTTCTACTGAAAGGAATACTTTACCTTTGTTGCCTGGATTTTTATCACTCCATATGAAAGCTCATCTGGTCTTGATATTAATGCCTCTCTGTAATAAACGGGAGTCACAATTTTAGTTTTCAGTAAATACTAATTAAATAATAAAAAAACTTGCACACAGGGAAAATGAGCAGTTTCATTTAAGTGACAGACAGCACATTGACAGTACACAAACACAAATAAGGACACTCACTCTTCTTCCTCATCTGTGGCAAAGAGGTTGACACGGAAGCCGCTGTCTGCATTTCCTGGTTTCTGAACTTCTAACCCACCCATTAACTTGGCCAACAGATTTAGCTCCTCTTTGGCCAGAGGGTTGGGAGCAGTGTTGACCTGTTGACACAATGGCTTGTTTACTTCTGTTTATTCCTGTTGTACCTGTTGTTTACAAGATCTTGCTACTGATAATGATGCACCAGGAAGTAGATTCAAATGTGCATGCATGTTATGTACTGTGGACACTGTAAAGAGTCTTCAACATTTAATTTGTTTGCATGACAATGTTTTGTGTATTAATCAAGTTTGCAGTGCGGAGGGTGAAGCTGTTTCACCTTAGTGTGCTGTGCAGAATTTTTAGATGTTCCTGACATGTGGGTTTCCACTGGGCGGCTTACACTGTACCTGAACGAAAAAATGAAAAAAGGAGAATGAGCATTCATGACCATGTAACATAGTGCCAAAGACGACCTGTACAAGACATTACAAATGTTTTATTTACAATATATTGTCTTTTGCCATATGTCAGACATACTGATACTCTATTATTGCATAAATTAAGATGACTAAATCAAAAGCTAAT